GTGGGGTGTATTAGGCAGGGGGGATGGTTCACAGCATGTGGCCGCAGGGGCTGAGAATGGGAGGAGGGTCACAGTGCCCCATTGCCATCACTGCCGGAAGGGCCGGGGGGACTGCTCTGGGCTGATCCCAGCTGGGGAGAGCAAGGCGGGGGGGCTGTGCTCAGGTAAAGCCGGGCTGTGGGGCCGTGGGAGCTGGGTGGCCCCTCCAGAAGTGGTGCCAGGAGCCCAGGGGGGCATGTGGCCCCTGGTCTGTGCACAGGGCAGAGGTGGTTGCAGCTGCAGCCTCTGCTCCACCTCTGCTCCTTGCCTCTCTGCCCCTGCTCTGACAGTGGTGTGGCACCATGTGAGTTCCACCACGAGGCAGGCCGGGCTGAGCAGTGAGGCACATGGGTGTGGCATGGGGCTGGGTGTGGGGTGGCATGTGGCTGTGGCTGTGTGTGTGGCAGGGTGTGGTCGGGTGGGTGTGTGGCATGTGGCTGGGTAGGTGGGTGTGTGTGGCATGTGGCTGGGGGTGTGTGTGTGTGGCATGTGGCAAGTGGCTGGGTGGATATGGAGTGTGGCTAGGTGTGTGTGTGTGTGTGTGTGTGTGTGTGTGTGTGTGTGTGTGTGTGTGTGTGTCAAGTGTGGGGAGCACACAGGGCTGGACACAGAGTGGAGTGGGGGGTGGGATGTGGAGTGGCAGCAGCGCAGGGCGGTGGGTAGAGGGGCTCTGTCCCCGCCGCCTGCCCCTCATTCTTGATGGGCACTTTGCTAATGCTCTCATTTCCCCCCACAAATACATGTTGGACTGGTCTTTCAACCTGTACACGTATGTCAATAATAATCCAGCTGAGGATGGCATTAACGATGTTCTTAGGCTGTCAGTGAATTACTGTATTGTGCATATAGCGGGTTTCCTTTTCTGCTGGACATAGAAGAGGTTGCATGAAGCTGCTAGTAAAAATGCAGAATCTGTTTCTGTCCGTGAAATTGTGCTAACTATGCGTTCGCATTTTACTACCAGGTATTTTGGTGTTTATTTGTACGAATTGGTATTGTGGGGAGGCTCCTGCTGAGTAATTGTCAATACTTTTCAGTAGTGGGTTCTATTTGTAGGATGTATTACTCTCCACGTTTCACAGAGGAGAATGTGGCACACAAAGGGATACAGTGATCTGTCCCTACATTATGGCTGATAAACCCATGTTCCCTCACCTTCCTATCATCTGCTGGAGCCACAAAATTCTCTTTCTACCTGGATACAGGATGCACTGACTTCACCCAAGTTTTTTGTTTGCTTTCGGTCACTGTTTAATCTGATCTTGAAAGCAGAACTCAGACCATACAAACTGGACCTCGTTAGGAACTTTCCATCAAAATGTGTTTTTTGTTGTTTTTTTCTTTAACACGGGTCTCTGAACAACTCCACCAGGACGTTTTCATTTTGAGACAATTTTCATCTTTCTACTGGAGAAAACTGACATGAAATGGTTCATACTGAGGCATTGTGACCCCCAGTATATTATTTTGTTTAGTTGGACTGGCGCAAAAGAATGGGATCAGTTCAATGAAATATTGAAATGTATTTATCAGAGCTTTCCCTCATGGATGTTTTAGTTCAGGTCCTCTCCTCTGGGCCAGTATAACTTTTGTGCATAGTATATCCCTTGTTTTTGCAGTTGATTTTTTTGGGGGGTTTTTAGACTAAATTTTGCAAGTGATAAATAATATATTGATGTGCTGGCTGCTGCTTAGAAGCAGTCTCCTGAAAAACAGATTGATTTGCATTGTTTAAAATGTAGGAACACAAGGCCAGCTGAGATGAAATTTATTCTAAGCTTTCCTCCTCCTTATGGAGTATCATTCTTGGCAATATATTGGAGCTTAAGGAGATGTAGTAAGCATCACTGCAGCTCCTGGAGGACAAAAGTGAGTTGGAGTTAAGACGCTGATTCTAGCTTCAGTTCTTGGCTTTGCTACCATTTCCCTGAGTGATCTGATACAAATCACTCCATTTCTCTCTGCTTCAGATCTTCATCTGTGAAGACTGGAGACCAGAGAAGTTCTCTTCACCTACTTCCAGCCTCTTCTCCTGCAGGTGCAAGCTCTTTCTTTCCCCATGTGTTTCTGCAGTGCCTAGCATCTGTGGAGTGAGTGGTCCCCCAAACCTGATAGCCTAGGAGAAGGGGAAGCGTAATGGGTGTAGAACCAGCATTGCACTCTTCTGCTACTGAGCTGCCTCGGGTGACAAAATTGGACTTTGAGGTGACTTGGGATGCCTAAATTACAGCGGTCCTCTGGGCAAGATGTCCCCATGTAAAAGGTGCCGCAACCCCAGCAACATGAAGGTGAATGATAAGTATGATTTTCTTTGGCTCAGCTATTTTCATTACACTTTTAGTTTCACAGAATCAAAGGAAAGTAGGGTTGAAAGGATCTCAGGAAGTCTTCTAATCAAGCCTCCTGCTCAAGGTAGGACCATCCCTGTCTAAACCATTCCAGGCAAGTGCTTGTCTAACTCAGGACAAGGTACTAAGGCACCACGGGGTGCTTCAAAATCCTTTGAGGCTGCTTCAAGGTATGAAGAAATAAGCACATAATTATAGGCAAAGGGTAATCCCTGGCTGACCATTTCCTTGCCCCTACTGCCTAGCCCCATGATGGGGGTAAGCACTGTAAGAAATAAGTTATTTTTTTTAATTGAATGCCATTCAATTATGGCACAGTGCCTTGAGTCTGAGGGACGCCTTGAGTCTAAAAGGTTGGTGAACCACTGGTCTGACCTGCTTATAAAAACTTGGAGATGCTTCTCTAGGTAATTTGTTCCAGTGCTTAACCACCCTCATAGTGAGAAAGTTCTTCCTGATATCCAAACTAAATCACCCTTGTTGTAATTTAAAGCTATTGCATTGTGTCCTGTCCCCTGCAGCCACACTGAACAGTATATCACATTTTTATAATCACCCTTCAGATGTTTAAAGACTGCTATGAAAGGTCTCTTCGGTCTTCTTTTCTCTAGCCTAAATACCAGTTCTTCCAACCTAATCAGTTCTTCTAACCTTTTCTTGTAAGTCAAGTTTCCCAGACCTTTAATCATTTCTGTTGCTCCGCACTGGACTCTTTCCAATCTGTCCACATCTTTCTTGAAGTACAGTTTCCAAAAGTGGGACTTCAAAATGTTCTTATTAATACGTAGCCATCTTAAGCACTTGGAATGGCTCCATCAGCCTTGCCTCAGGAAGATCCTTTGTATTAGATGGGAAGACCCCAGCACCAATGCCAGCATCCTCTCTGCAGCTAACATAACCAGCATCGTGAAACATCAACTCTGCTAGGCTGGTCACTATGTGCAGGTGGCTAATAGTCATCTCCTGAAACAAGTCCTCTTCTCTCAACTCACTCATGGTAAGAAGACTTGCAGAGGACAGAGGAAGCTCTACAAGGACACCCTGAAAGCATACCTTAAGAAGCGTGGTGTTAACCTTACACACTGGGAAGTGCTAGATGGTAACAGGTCTCAATGGCGCTACACCATACATCAAGCTGCAGCCTACTTTGTTGAGAACTGTCTTGGTCTGGAAGCTGAGAAATGGCAGAGGAGGAAGGAAAGCTCACAATATCCTGTCCAACAGCTGTGCCCTGCACAAGGCACCACTTGTCATATCTGTGGAAAAACTTGCAGAGCACGACTGGACTCTTCAGCCACCTTAAAACTCATCAATAATCCCCCACCCCAGCAGACATCATCCTCGTATCAAGGGATAGTTGAAGAAGATTAATATTTAGACCTTGCCTTTTTGGTCATCTTGTTAGACCTGTGTAACTTGCTTTTAACCTATAAACCCGTCCACAATTCATTTACTTTTTGCATTTTCATTCCATCTAAGAAGCTTGTCATGTGTCAGGACACCACTGTGCCAAGTGCTGAACAAGGCCAGAACAGAGGCATCCCCTTCCCTAATAGTTCATAAGGTAGAGAGATGTATTATGAACACTGAGAGATGGGCAAGTATAAAGAAGCAGTGAAGCAATACTGGCCATCTTGGGAGACTGTAATCTCAGTACTCTACCAGCCAAAATGTTGTTGGGTTTTTTGTAAGGACCAAGGTCAAGGAAATCATTCTGAGGATTTAAAGCAGAGTAATGAAGGGGCTTTGCAGTGTTCGCAGGGAGCTCCTCTGGCTGGAAGGGGGCACCAAGGGAGAAAGTTCAAAGGTGCTGGGTTCAAAATCCTAGTGGGAGGCTGCTTCATAGGGGCCAGTCAGAGGCAGGGTTTGAATTCTCAAGGCAGCATGAGAGATGCTGAAAGAGGTGAGAGGAGAGTTCATGAGTGGCCTTGATAATGGAAACAGATAGTTTTCTTTGATGTGATAGTGAAAGGAGAGCCAGCGAATGCAAAGAGAGTGGCAAAAACAGGCAGAAGGGTAGGAGCATGGTCTTTGCAGCAGTATTTTGAACGGAGCAAGGCAAGACTGCTTGTTAGACCTTGTTTCATAGATGCTAGGGTTAGACCTTATTTCATAGATGGACAACGTTAGCCTCTTTTAAAGAATGGTATCATTTTTAAAGACCCTGAGAGTGCAACAACTCTTGTCAAAGTTAATGGCAGCTGTTGGATCCTCAGTATGTGCTGATTGATTCTTTTCATTGGTTGCCTTAATGCAGATTTGGAAATTGAACTCTGGTCTCCCATGTTTGAAGATCTATACCTAATAACTTTATTTAGAGACACTAAATCCTAGATGTTCTCCATGCCTCATGGAGTTTTTTCACCCTTGTGACATATGCAATGTTGGCATGTTGCATTGATTTAAAAGAAAACTTTAAACATCTTATTACCCTTCTTCTTTCAGAATGCCATATGATATGATATAATTGTAATGCTGATTAAAAAAAACTTTACTTGCTTAAATCATCAGTAGCATCTGCCTGGGGAGAGCTAGCTGTCAGGGGGCATAACACTGATTTTTCCATCATCTCAGTTTTTAATAAGTGTCTTTCTTTAATTTTCTTGTCCTTAGCTTTGCTCGTCCAGGGAAAGGATCATGGCTTGGAAAAGGCAGTCCGGAGACGGGACCAGACCAGACCAGTATGTCATTAGAGAACCTTGTGTTTGGAGCCAGCTACTGCAAACCTCCTTCTTCAGAGGTAAGGGAAGTCAATCCATGGTAGCATGGTTGAATTTTGATTCTCATTTTATAAAAGTAATCTGGGAGAGTCTGTGACTGGGATTATGTATTTGTGGAGTAAATGAATGACCTCTCCAAACACCCATGTATGAGCTGTCCACAATTTGGGGCTGGATGTGCAGCCCATACCTATATGCCTTGCTGGATCTCATAGGCAAGGCATGTTAGACAACAGACAGAGGCTTATCTCCACCTCCAGTACCCAGAGTAGCTGAGAAGAGACACATGTGGCTGAGCCAGCATGGAGGGAATTGTCATTTGCTGTGGGGAGAAAGACAGCAGCAAATCACCATCTTCCCCCTCATCCCCAAACATGGAGGAAACCACAGGGGAATTGTGCCTTGGATCATTGATGAATGATGGTGCCTTGTAGGTTATTGCGGCTTATGCTTATTCTCTTGCTCAACACAGTATCTCAAGTCAGCCTAGGTCTCTTGAGTTTCCTTTACACCCGGGCCAAACAGAGCTAGCTGTGAATGTTTTGGTAACATGTTTTCTTCAGTGGAAAATGTTAATTTTATTTTTTTGGAAGGACCGTAGCAGTTTGGGGGGGAAATTGTTGGAACACATTGTTTTTCCAAGACAAGGGACCCCAGTGGAGAATTAGTCCAGGGGTTAGGGCACTTTTTGGGAACATGGGAGACAATAACGTCCCTGCTCTGACTCACCCAGCTATGGTCAGTCTCTCAATCGCTCTCGCTGGAACGCTTCCTCTTTGAATAAATGGTCATGTGTGTGTTGGCCCAGAAGACGGGCCTTACTGCGACGTGCGCTGATCAGGGAACTCACCTGCCATGTTAGAGAATGGTGGCCCAGAGACTTGAGCATGGATCTCCCACATCTAAGGGAAATGAGTTACCTACCCAGGGGGCTGGCAGCTCGCAGATGCAGACTTCTCTCTTCCTCCTGTTTTACATGAATGATGTCATGAAAGATCTTGTTTTGATCCTGGTGCAGAAAAAGTGAGTTTTTGAAATCTCAAACATTTTTTACGGGGCAGGAGAAACAGTCGGTATCTATCTCCAATGAGAAATCTTTCTGTTTTGCTAGTGAACATGTAAAACCCAGCAGGATAGTAGGGCTGTTGTGTTCTAGAAAGGCATGTGCCAAGGGGTAAAGTAAACTCTTTCATTCCTTCTCCTTCGTGCATTTCTTATTTTAGCACTTTGTACGCCAGTTAGCCAGTCAAGCCAAACAGTTCTCAACTGGCTCCGTCTTGTCCTGGCTGATCAAACACATTTTTTTTCCCCCCTTAGCTTTGGGAATGTTTGTTTAGGACATGGGATTTATTTTTGACTGGAACATGCACCTCCCATCGGTAATAGTGGACATTATGCACATGTTAGCATACAGTGTATTGTTAATAAGTTGAGAATGGTCTGCTCGGTTGGGAGTAGAAAGTAGAAAGCACAAGCAACGCAGATCACACTCCAGACACTCTGGCACATGGATGCAAAGAGTTCAGTGGGAGGTAGCCTATTTAGAGGTTGAAGAAAATGGAATAAAAACCCAGTAAGGATTTGATGCTGTGTGCGTGTGTGTGCATTTTATTGATGCTTTCGGTTTTTATTCATTGTTAGATTTTAAGGCCCATATCATTGGCAGTATAAATTGGTGCATCTCTGCAGTCCCTGTATGTGTTGCAGCTGAGGAGCTGAGCTATGCAATTAAACTCCCCATGCAGAACAGCACAGATGCTCTGCTGCTCTACATGGGACTGAGCAAGCATCCTTCTTCCAAGCTGGTAAATTCTGTAATGGACTTTCCAAATATGAGTGCCAGTGGGCCTGCTGCTATGCTGCACTCAGAGGACTTGTCCCTGTCATCCTAAATAATCCCAGACCTCTCCCCCAACTAGACATACAGGCCCTCTGAGTTGGTCATTATCTACAGTCTATGGAATAGCTAGGATCCAGTGTAACATATACCATGCATATTGATTTTTTTTTTTGTTGTTACTGTGTACAAACTACATCAGTCTTGGAAGAGTAGGTTTTTGGGTGTAGGTAAAGCCTCAGAGGTCAGTAGTGTATTGGAGTGAGAAAAAAAAAAAAACACCTCAAAACAACTCCACATCCCAAAATTGAAATATATAAATGCTAAAGTCTCCTGGTCATTCTGGGTAAGATAATCATCCTGTACCTTACTGCTCTTGAGCATACTTCATATTTTGTAAATGTCTTCTAGGATACTAGTTCTTTTCTTCAGGACTTCACTTCTCTGACTTGGCCGTCTTTTTGATCACGGGATTTCTTTTCATGCTTGCAGAATAGCTCTTTAGATTTGTTGACTTAAAATAGTCAAAAAGTTCTGCCCAGCTCAACGAGCGCATCCCTTTTCACCAGCAGCTTTTAATGCCATTGTGTCTTTCTTCTTTGCATTATTTTCTGTTAGGGATTTCCCTTTGCTCAGCTCCCAAACCTGGCAGGTAAGTCACGGGGAATAGGTTTAGCCATCTCATTGCTCTATGGGACTCTTCATGTAGATGGAAGGCTGCTTACGGAAACGGCAGTCGTTTCTGTTGCCCCTCCCTTGCCTACATCAGGGAGATGTGTGATGCAACCCCTATAGCAAATGGTTGAAGTATTCAATAATATAGCAATTTTATTAAATCAACCAGGATTCCTGAGTTCAACCTAGAAGAAATTTCCAAACTCCTGTTGAGCAGATAGCCCAGCTGACAGATTGCATTGAACTCAGTGGGTCGAAGCGATCAGCCAGCCATCAAGGGATTTAAAGCTGTAGCTTGAGGTACACAAGTGCCCTAATTTTCAGAGAGGTTGAGCCCCTAACGAGTACATAATTGTGCTGATGTCAGACGTGGCTATCACTCGCTCATTCTTTCCAGGCTTCTGACGAGTAGTCAGTAAATAATTCTTAAAGTGACAAACTGTGCCTCGATCTCACATCCGTACATACCGTTTAATTCTTTCCTGTAAAAAAAAACAAAAAAAACCCACATATGCGTGCACTAAAACCTATAGGAGTGCTGACCTCTGATTGTCCACCAAGGCCCAAAAGATCACTTATGGAAGCTTATGGGTAAAGTCTTTTTCTTACTGAATTACTGAACATATCAGTTGCTGCCTCCAGTTGGAAAAAAAAAAAAAAAAAAAAGGCTGGGGGGGGGGGGAGTGTTAATCAGTGGTCCTTCTCAACTGCTTTTTATGTTAACATTGCCCCCCGTGGGAGGCTGAAGTGCTGCCGCCAGTGACAGACAGCGAAGGTTCTTCATCCTGAGCTGCTGACTTCTCAATATGGAGGCTAATTAAATGTCAGCACCGTCAGATTGTACACGTCCAATTTCCCCAGCTCTGTCCGAGTGACCTCTGAACACCACTGACAGTTCCCTCATCTCACAGCCCAGCATAGTCATACTAATCATTCACACTGTGATTAAAACCCCATCAGAGTCCTGTTATTCCTTTCACTTTCTTCCAAATTGTATGCCCAGGCAATTAGGATTTGGGGGTTGTTTTTTTTCTCTGCACTCCCATGGAAGCACTGACTTGTACCACGATTCACTGCAGGACAAGGTGCCATTCTTTTTCTTTTCACCGGTAGTTTTATTTCAAACAAAACTGAAACTTCATGGCTGCATTAGAGTGAATCTCAGATTTCGCTTTCAACTAATATACAGGCTTATTCTGTTGAGGTAGAGACACTTGCACAGATCGTGATGATTAGGCTATAAAGCAAGGTGTGTGTCCTTTTTTTAAGCCCTTGTCGTGGCATGAGCTCTGGCAGTTGCACTGCATTGTGCAGATATTCATGCTTGCTAGGCCTTTTGAGCTTGATTGACTTGACGTGGGAGGGTTAGTCTGGCTTGTCAGCAGTCAGGGAGAAGGTAGGGAGGGGGAGGGTGGCACCTTAAAGACTAACGAGTTTAGAAAAACCTGAGCTTCCATCTCCAACCACCTAACTCGTCAGCCAGCAGTCCAGCCATAGGATCTGATGAAGCAGGCTGTTGCTCATGAAAACTCATACCTCTGATCCAGTTAGTCTCTAAGGTGCCACCCTGACCTAACTTCTGCCTAAGCACTGAGTGCATGCACTGTTGGGCTACTTCCCATCCTGCAAGCCCAGGCAGAGGTCCCTTCGTGTTATGGATGGCCCAGATTTTTTAGGTGCTTTCAGTAGCTGTAAGAGCAACATGTGCTCTCATTGACTTCTGGCCTTTTGGACCCACATTTTCCAAACCTGGGTGTGCCTCAGTCTTGCCTCACTTTATAATCAGAGCGTGACATACACATAGCATGACCTTCCATAAACACTATACTCACCGTGGCCTTCTTTAGTTCCTCTACAGATAATCAACCTCTGGTTTGACTGAGTATAATGGGTGTAACGTGGGTTCTCATCTGTGGAGCCTAATACAGCTTCAGCTGGAGAGCTGTGGCTCTGCAATTTCAGCTGCTGCAGCTCATATTTTCAGCTTGGAAGGTCCAATCTGAGGCATATAGGTCCAGATGGAGGCTGTTATTCCATCTCAAAGTCCCCCCATGGTAGCAAATCCCTCCTCCACCAGGGTCCTGTGGTAGTGTTATGTTTCAGAGTGCATATCCTATTTAGACATACAAAAAACTAGAACTCTTGGTTCCAAAATGATACCTTTTATTAGACCAACTGGAAAATGGCAAGACAATTGTCCTTTTCTGCAAGCTTTCAGGATCAAAGTCCCTTCGTTGGGCTCTGGAAAAAGTGTAGATGGTACACAGTGGTAAAAAGTCCCCATAAGCAGGAAATAAACTTCATTTTTGCACAGAGGGAGCTGAAGATGGAAGGCTGTCCCTCTGGGTCCATGAGAGTGTCTTTGTGAGCTGGGTTGAGTAGCTCACAAGATGGAAGAAACAGCCCCTATATTTGATATATATCAAAATAGAATTAAAGAAGGTATCAGCTTTGCAAAAGGAGGACTAAAATGCAGCTGTTCCCCTCTTAAAGGAGGAATCTGTATAC